AGCATTTGTTCACCAACTGAAGCAGACGACTATTTTTTCAAAACATTTCAATTAATAATGAAACTTTTACGAAGTATTGTTGCTAAACAAAGTTGTTTGTCCAAGAAAACGGTAAAAAGAAAATTAAATTTCAGTTTTTGAGAATTTTGATTACTTTGTGTACTGGTTTTGGGTTTGGGCTTTGAGGAGAACTCCATATACCATCCTGTAACCTGTCAATTTTTAGCCTCACACTATTTTAGTTAAAAATTAATCCTAACATCAGTGACAATTAATTCTTTATCAGTAGTCCGACTAAACATTACCACATATTTTTCAGGCTTTCCTTACATCCTCAAGTGGCCTATGCAATGATCAAAGATGTCACTACTCTGGGTCTGTGAGAAATGCTCCAGAGGAAAATGTAATGAATATTTTTGATAGAAATGCTAAACGCATTCAAAAAGAAAGAGCTGCTATGGATCCTGACGTAGCTGTGTATGATTATCTTAAAGAAGAAGTCGGATTTCGGCTATCTGAACGAATCTTAGACATCAAGCGTAAATTTGGTAAAGTCGTAGATTTGGGATGTGGCCGTGGTTATGTGTCCAGACATATTTTGTCATCCTCCGTAGAGGAACTTGTAATGTGTGATTTGAGCCCAACCCACCTAAAACAGGCTACAGGCCCTGAAGAGGCTGTGAAATGTCAACGCCTGGTTGTTGATGAAGAAAATCTTCCATTTGAACCGAACTCCATTGATATGTTTGTTAGCAACCTTAGTCTTCACTGGGTTAACGATCTTCCAGGAACATTTGCTCAGATTAATAGATGTTTAAAAAATGATGGCTGCTTTTTAGCATCAGTATTTGGTGGAGATACACTTTTTGAGCTCAGGTAAGGGGCTTACATTACAGGATCATAGTTTTTCCCGAAGTACTCTGTATCAAATTTCCCTTTTTACTTATTTTTGTCCTTCATTTTATGTAGGTGTTCTTTACAAATGGCTGAGCTTGAGCGTCAAGGGGGATTAGCTGCCCATATATCACCATTTGCAGAGGTCCGTGACATAGGTGGTCTTCTTCAAAGAGCACAGTTCACAATGCTCACAATAGACACAGATGAGATTGTCATTAATTACCCTTCAATGTTTGAAGTTATGTGGGATCTAAAAGGTACCTAAGAGTTATAACTTGAAATGTTGAGATTCCAGGATACATTCTTAATGGTTCTTGCCTTTTCAGGGATGGGCGAAAGCAATGCAGCAAGAAATAGAAAATTAAGCCTTCCTAGAGAAACACTTATGGCAGCAGCTGCTATTTATGAAACCATTTATGGCAATAATAATGGCAGAGATGGCACAAGAGCCGTCCCAGCCTCCTTCCAGGTAGTCAAATTCACCTTAATCATGCACTTGGCCTGTTCTCAAACTTGTTTTAATTATTTTTGTGTGTGTGTGTGTGTTATCTGACTAGGTGTACTACTTACTTGGGTGGAAGCCAGATCCTTCCCAACCCAAGCCCAAAGCAAGGGGCACTGGGCAGGTTTCTCTAAAAGATATTCACAAACTTGATGAAATCATGAAGAAACACGGAGAAATAGAAATTGGAGATGGTGGGAAAGAAAAATAGGTGATAGGATTAAACTTCAAATAAAACTATTATTTGTCAATGTACGAAAAGTTGGCTATTTATTTGACCTTCCATGCAATTTGCTAAGTCACCTTAAATGTACTGCCCCTGGATTACTACAGATAGTCAGCTTGGAAGAAAGTTGTGCAACATTTGCATTTGATATGTTATTCTTTTACCTGCAAAATTGATGGACATCACAAATTAATGTCCTGTTCAGCATGACAAGATTACTCTCTGTAGTAGAGAAAATTTACAGCACTGGGCCAATGGCAAAAGGCCATGGAAGCCAGTAGAATCAAATAAATAATTCATATTTTACATAAACTAACTTTTTCCCACATAGCTGAAGATATTATAAGATGATAGACAGTGAGAAAAAGTGGGGTCATACTTCGATAATAATAGAAAAGTTATTGCTTAGAGTTAAAGCTTATATACTAACACAAATAAGCAGTAACAGTGATTACCAATTTGTCTGACAGAGCCATTCGTCAACCATTACAGAGAGTGGAAATTGAACTCTCCTGAAATTATCATAATTAAAAACCACTAAGTGAAATTTAACTGAAAATTCACACCAGAATAAAAATACACCGACATTCAAGTCTATCTTCCCTGGCCTTACAATTTTGAGGAATGGTAATAGCTCAAGTTGAAGATTACCACCCAAACTGGTAACACTGATGATACTGACTAAAATGGCACACCTGAGACAAGGTATCCGATGAACACAAAATGACAAGGTAATACACTAGGCGTTTTAAAAATGGCTAAAATATCAATGAAATACCAGGTGCAAATGCTTTTAAAAATACTGTAGTAAAAAAGAAAATCAGATCTTAATGACTTAAACCGACCCAATTTACAAACTAAAAAAGGATAATAGCTACCTTTACATTGAGAGTATTAAATTGAATTACATTTGGTCCAATTAAGTAGACTAAACTTAATCTATAAGTATAAGCAAAGACAAGATAAGAAAAATAATCACATTGCAAAGTAAGTGTAAAATGTGCACAACCTCTACATTAAAAATTGATCAGGATACTGTATTGCTATTGACAGGTTTGTTTTGTTCATAAGAAAAAAAAATGAGAACACTGTGAACATTTAAAAAAATCAACAAAAAAACAAATTAAAAATGAGTCACTTAAATAAAACAACTGAAATCTAGCTTCCTAGACTTCATAATTGTGGACACATTGTGCAAAACTCATAGAAATTGATTGATTTGCTTGTTGGAATCAATTGCTTTTGACAGGTTTGTTTTGTTCATAAGAACAAAGAGAACATTAACAAAATAAAGAAAGTCAAATTAAAAATGAATTCACTTAATTAAAACCACTGAAATCTAGCTTCCTAAACTTCATCGTTATGGACATATTGTGCAATACTCAAAGAAATTGATTGAAAATTATCATTAATCAATTACAATATGGAATGCTGTTTCACAATATGTTGGTGGAGGGACTGTTTGATCACAACCATTGGAAATACAGATCTGTGTAATGTTCAGTATCTGCAATAACTAATCAATTGCTAAAAATTAAATCTAGCATGAAAGCTACACAAACAAAAGCTATAAAAGAGTGGCAAATATCAACCTGCAAAGCCTCTCTAAATTGACAATGGAAGGAATGGTGGGTACATTGGAGGAAGATTGTTTGCTGGTCCAGAGCCCAATGTTGGAACAAAAAGGATAATGTAAGTAGAATTCAGTCTTCACACAGTTTCAATCCAAAATATGGGTATCTAACGTCACATACATAAATGGCAGTTCTTCCAAAAAACTTTACAAGATTTTGAATTTTAAAA